TATATATATATATTTCTATTTTTCTCTATTTCTCTCTCTCTTTCTCCCTATTTCTCTTTAGACGTACAACTTATTTCGAAGTTGTTATTGCCCAGGGAGTCTCAAGCGTGTTATGTAATAACAATAGCATTGTTACTTTTTTGGAGGAAATCATGAGATACTTTGCTTAGTTTCTTTACTTATTTCCTTCGCAGGAACGACATGAGAATCATCCCTTAGAAAATCGTGCAAAATTGTATGTACCAGGTGAGTAAAGTATAATGAGTTATACGAGTTATACACATATTAAACCGAAGATCATTCCGAATTATTTTAGAGAAACGACATAATTATAGAAAATGATTCGTAACGAGTTACGTCAGTCTATAARTCAGTCAGTCTGTATTTTCTTCTCGATAGGATCGCTTTTGTTCAACGAAGAAGTCTTTTTTTCTGTCTCTCTTTATTTTTTCCTTTCTACCTATGAAAAATGGTTCACAGAAGACAAACTTGACGTTTTCATAGGACTCGTCTCACCACGTTAGAAGCCAAGACTTGTTGGAAGAGACAACAAAAAAAAAGAAAAAAAAAAGCGTCGGTTTATCGCCTGGAGAGGAGGGATTTCTAGCGCGAGATCGGAGTAATTCGAAGAGAATAGAACGTGGCAGAAGAGAATGGAAGGTTGTTTTGAAGCGGCTGGTAGTCGAGCGCGTCAGACACGCGGCTCGGAGGGTGCACATCACGCACGAGCAAGTGCACATATGCGAGGGTAACTCTCGCAACCCTCCACCTTCTATTCTTTCCTTTCCTATCTCTTTCTATCTCTAGGCTGTTGGATAGGAAGGGATGCATCGACGCCGTTCGTCGATCGAAAACTTTGTGTAGCCGTTTATTTGGCATCCCACCTTCCTACTACCATTCCTCATTCAACAAATAATCTATTATATATATACAACTATACGATATAATTACATTTATGTGTACGTGTACGTGTTTATGTACTTCTACATAAGTAGATATATATATGATATTATTTCCTTAGGAAGAATTCAAGATCGAGGAAATGGCATTTAAGGAGAATTTCCTTGGTTTTCAGGCGTTAACTGAGATTCTTTTTCGCGCGGGTAAACGCGAGTTACGAGAAATCGTTGCCAAGCTCGAATGATCGAGGGTGAGATGATAAGAGACGCACGTCGAATCGTCCCTTGAACAACACCGAATCCAGGGGTTGGTGGTGGTGGTGATTCCTATAAGAAGACCATCGCGTGCGCGTTCGTCTGAGAATTTATTTCGGGATTATTCGAGTGAGAAAGAGAGAAAGAAAACGAGAATGAAGTAAGAAAAAGACATCTCTTTTTCTTTTCCCTTTCTTTCTTTCTTTCTCTTTATCTATTTCTTTCTAACGAAAAACGGGAAGGAAAAATCGTTTGG